GCTGCCCCTGGACTGCCCGGGTGAGTCTGTGCCCCAGTTACATGTAGCCCGACCCACCCACCCCAGAGCCAGCTGCCCCCAGCCCCATTATACTCAGCCTGATCCCCGCCCGCCAGAGCCAGCCAGCCACCGCCCCCCAGTGCCGTCTCACCAAGCCTGATTTCCCCGCCCCGTGAGAGCCAGCCGCAACCAGTGCCATTACACCCAGTCCAATCTCCCCCCAGAGGCAGCTGTCAGTGCCATTACACCCAGCCCGGCCCCCCCAGAGCCAACCAGCCCCAGCACCATTACACTCAGCCCAGAGTCAGCTGCATTTCTCGCCCCCAGTGGAGGACGTGTGGCGCGAGGAGGGCGACCGGGTGTCCCTGCGCTGCTCCCTGCCTTTTCCAGCACCCCCGGATGTGGTGGCCACATGGGGTTTCGCCAAGGACGTGAGTGTGGGTGGGCCCAGACGCCTGCATCTTCGTGTGTGTTGGACACCTGGGTTTCCCTTGTGTGTGTATGTGTTTCCATGTCCCAAACACCTGGGTCATGCGCATGTGTATGTGTGTGTGTCCTGGATGCTTGGGTTCTCTCTCTTCCTGTCCCCCAGACTCCCTGGCTACCTGCTGCCCAGACATCTGGGTTCCCTGACTGTTGCCCCCTTCCCCCCCCCCCCCAGGTGCGCAGCCAGGACCTGTCCTTGTTCGGGGAGGCGGGGGTGGCTGGAGGCTTGGCCCGGGGGTTCGTGATCCGGTCAGCCCAGGCCTCGCAACGCGGCACCTTCCTCTGCCGGCTCCGCGCTGGGGCCCAGCTGCTCGCCCGGCGCTACTTCTACCTCAACGGTGCGGTGGATGCGTGGGGCCTGGAGCCCGGACACCAGGGGGCTGGGGGGGCTGACAACAGGGGGACCTGGGCACCTGGATCCTTTCCGAGGGCCAACGGGGCCCGTGGGAGGTAGAGTTGTGGGGCAGGGACCCCGGACACCTGGATCCTCTCCATCTTGGAGGGAATGGGGGTGAGAGCAGGGGGGGCTGGGCGGCTGGACATCTGGGTTCTCCGGGCAGGCGGTGGGGCTGGTTTGGGGGTCAGACCAGGCCTCCCCAGATGCTGGGGTTCCCTCTGCACTAGGGAGTGACTCAGGTGCTGGGGTTCGCTGTGCCCACAGTGACGGCGCGCCGGGGGGGGCTGGAGCAGGGGCTGCAAGCCACGTGGGGGGTGAGAGCAGGGGGGGCTGGGCGGCTGGACATCTGGGTTCTCCGGGCAGGCGGTGGGGCTGGTTTGGGGGTCAGACCAGGCCTCCCCAGATGCTGGGGTTCCCTCTGCACTAGGGAGTGACTCAGGTGCTGGGGTTCGCTGTGCCCACAGTGACGGCGCGCCGGGGGGGGCTGGAGCAGGGGCTGCAAGCCACGTGGGGGGCGGTGCTGGCGCGGGCTCCGGAGGGCCAGGGGGAAGCGGAGAGGGCCAGGCTGGGTCTGCGGGCCCTGCTGGCTGCCCCTGGCTCTCTGCGCTCCCGTCCAGCTCTGCTGCTGGGCTTGGGGCTGGCGCTCAGCGCCTTGCTGGGCACCCTGCTGCTGGGGTGAGTGCCCCCC